TATATATATATATATATATATATATACACATGCATGTGTGTGCATTTATATATACATAATAATTATACACAGTACACATACATATATTATGTAAACAAAAACTTTTAATTTGGATGCGAATTAATCACGATTAATCGTTTGACAGCACTAAAAGTTTCCTCCACGCGCATTACGTCTTATGCCACTATCCTTTTCTTTTGTATTATGTCTTTTGTACTTATGTCTAAAATCAGTGGAAATAGCTTAGGCCAACAAGGTAGGCTTACTGTAAATAGACGCTTCGTTAATATTAACATTTCTGATTGTTTAAAGGGGTCCTATTATGCTTTTTCACTTTTTCAACTTTAGTTAGTCTGTAATGTTGCTGTTTGAGCATAAAAAAGATCTGCAAAGTTACAAAGCTCAAAGGAGAGGCTCAAAGGAGCCCAATTCAAAAGGAGATATTTAATTGAGCAGAAATCACTTCAAAAACTACAACGAACGACTTGTTTGGACTACAATGCATATTTTCCGGGATTTGTGATATCACAAATATCGACGAATGGGACAAGACCTGGTTGAGCTGCACTAGAGAAGGCAACGAGTGTTATCACTATGTCGGAGACACGCTAGCTTTCCCAAGGCAGATGAACTTAGAGTGGTTACAATCATCCGGGTTTAAATCACGCTCAAATTGATTTGATTTTGATGCAATATTTACACTGAAGCTCGCAGGTGGTTATGGTAAGGGGCATGACATTTCCCGAGTAGGCGCCGAGTGGTGCCAATCACAACACACACTGTCCCAGCTAACCAATCACAGCACATTTCGTATTTCAGAAGGCGGGCCTTCATTTGATACAGGAACTATTCGAGCCGTTCATGCCAGACTGGGGAGAGAGGTGTTGTAATAATGTAAAATATGTGAAAAATAATGTGTTTTTCGAACAACCTAGTATGAGAGCCTGTTCTAATACACCCCCAAAACAAGATCAAGACTTTGTAAAAGAGCATAATAGGACCCCTTTAAATGATCAGCACTCGGGGGCCCCTTCAAAAAATGCAGGGCCCCAGGCAATTGCCTACCTTGCAATGATTTCACCCAGGTCATCAGCTAACAAAAATATTTTCTTTAAACATTTTGCTAATGTTCCCATTAAGTTATGAAAACTTTATTTTTAAGCAGCAGCTATTTGCACTAAGTATGATAGATGCTATTTACACAAAGTGCAAATAGCAATGGATTCTATATACAGTAAGTGAAAATAGCAGTATTTTCTTAGCGATATGCTATGTACACTAAGTGTAAATAGCAATGGATTCTATATACAGTAAGTGAAAATAGCTGTTTTTTTTAGCAATATGCTATGTACACTAAGTGCAAATAGCAATGGATTCTATATACAGTAAGTGAAAATAGCTGTTTTTTTTAGCAATATGCTATGTACACTAAGTGCAAATAGCAATGGATTCTATATACAGTAAGTGAAAATAGCAGTATTTTCTTAGCGATATGCTATGTACACTAAGTGCAAATAGCTACAGATTCTATTTACACTATGTTAAAATAGCAGGATTTGCTGCTATTTATACTACTTAATGCAAATAGTGGCAATTATCTGCACCTCAGTATTGTCTGCCAACAAGGCGGGCTATTTGCACTTAGTGTAAATAGACACTCAACTATTTTATTAGTTTTTTTTTCCTTGGTTATATAAGAATGTTAAAGAAACATTTAATTTGATCATTTTGGGAACATTATGGGAATGTTACTTTTAAATGTTCTATGAACATTCTGAAACCAGTAATAACATTTACAATTAAAATGTTAAAACATTCCATGAATGATGTATAAATAACGTTTTTGTGCTAAGGTTTTGAGAACATTATTAAAGAGCAGATAACTTTGAGAAGCTTGCCAGAGTGTTAGCCAGGGTTCTGAGAACGGCCCGTTAGCTGGGTCTGCGCGCCTTTTGATCTATGAAGAATTGTGTATTTTTATAACAAATAGTTTGTATGCTTCATCTGAAAACAAGACCATGGCACGTTACCTTCTGAAGCAGTCCAAACTGCTCCTCGCACTCCTCTAACAACACTGCTTTTGCAGCAGCCTCTGAAGACTGAGAGGACTGGGCTTCCCGCTCCATTTCTGTCTGCTTTGATGGTGCTGGAGTCTACAGATGTGATAAAGCCAAACAAACAATAAGAACCAAACAGAAGAAAAAAGGTGAAAACTCCAGCCAGATATATACAAACTTCTTGTATTGAAAAGGTGAATGTAACGTAGAGGACTGACACGTTAGCCGTGCAGCTAACAGTTAGCTAGCTATTTCAAATTACTAACCAGTAACGTTATATATGCGACAGTTTTGTAAAGTACAAAATCTTACGTATATTTTGTGGCGATAACACACAGTAAACCCAAATTACACAGTCACTATGGTACTTCCCATCTATGGCTTTTCTTTTAAGTGAATGCTATGCTACACCCGAATTTGGCAGTAAACACTGTATATGCCAAACAAAAATACCGCCAACAACAACGTCATGACGTAATGCCGGCGTCGCACGCTGTGGACGTTCAAGTGTTTTGTAACTGCGCTGCTTATGCGCAAATATGAAAATGTTGTATTTTCATTTAATACTACTTCTCATTTGTCTCCATATGAGACAGAACTTAAATTAATATTTGCCATTACTGTTAAACGAGGCGAGAATTATGTAAGAATCATAAACAATTATATAAATGTCACAAGACTGCATCAACAGAAATTTAAAACGACTCAAAATTCCTTTTACAAAAATAAAAAATTAGCGGATTTGAGGTTAGGGCGTTCCCCAATCTTTAACGGCAAAATAAGGTATCAAGCAATCACACAAGAAAGCAAAAGCAACCAGAATGGTGTCCACCAGAGGGCAGCAGAAGAACAGAACTTGTGCTGAGAGAGCGAGCGATCAGAGAGCATTTTCTGTAACATTCTTGTCTAGAAGGCTGATAGTTTTAAAGAGCTTTATATTCTGCAATATTCGGATTCATTTTATTTTTCATTTCTGATTCAATATAGCATGAAAGAATGTAGCTTAGAATAAGACGTAGATTAAAGCCTCGTTCACACCAAGAACGATAACTGTAAAGATAACTATAAAGATAACGATATTAGCGTCCACACCAGCGAACGATATCGTCTGTTTATTCTAAGCGTACATGCTTATAGTTATCGTCCTTGGTGTGAACGGGCCTTAAGGCTCTGAGAAAAACACACTTTGCGTTTTCTGAATAGGCCTATGTCTTAATTGAATAGAGCAAAAAACTTTCAGATATATGGGCGTTTGGTGAACGTCATTTCACCAAGTACAACATGTTCCTGAATCAACATCCTTGCTGATCCTGGAACAACATCCCAAGCAACCACTCAGAAATGAGGGATAACTTTTCAGGAAATATCTGAGGCTTACGATCAGGGTTAGGTGCTTCTACACCCTTGTTAATCAGCTATCATTTCACACTGATTTTAAGAATAAATTATAGGTAGGGTTAGGTTTAGGGGTAGGGATTGGGTTAAGTCTATATTTTTGGACAGTAATGTTGATCCAGGATCACCAAAAGATGTTGATCCAGGAACATGTCTTACCTGGCAAAATCATGGGCGTTTATAGCCACTTTTGACCCAGTGGACTGAAAAGAAGCCCTATTGGTCTTAAATAAGTAAATGCAGTCCCACTATATGTTTACGAACAATTTCCAATTATAGGCTATAGTGTCCTACTTATTTTTTTAACGAATAGCCTACTTTTGGAAAAAAAAAACTGTAATGTCATGAACTTTTCATAACATTTTTAAATTATTAATTTAAATTATTTGTCTTTAATAGCATTTTGTGATGGAAATGACAATAATGAAAACTTTCTCTTTTTTTCTTTTTTGCCTTTTTTCTTTTGCCTTGCCACTGATGATAGCATTTTATATATTCGATATTGGGAAATACATTTAAAAAAAAAAATGAGAAGAAAAAAATCTGTAAAAAAGTGATGTTTCCCTTCTTCTTCTTCTTCTTCTTCTTCTTTCTTTCTTTTTTTCAAGTGCATACTTCAAGGATACACTATGCTTTCTGGGAAAATAATGATAATAATAATATAGAAAAAAAGAAGAAAATATGTCATTTTCAAACAAAAATTCCACATTTCTGGGTGATGCTAAAACAATAACATTATAAATTCAATATAAATATTTTTTTGTCCATTTAAAATAAAATTATAAAATTGTGACCATTTACATTTGCTTATATAGCCGCAAAACAGCTAGCCATATATTATCTTGCCTTTGCACTTCATCTTCCTCTTTACAAAACAACGTTAGGTACTGTTGTTCCTTTTATACATGACACACATCTGCTACTGACAGCACACTCAATGCGTCTTGTTTTTTAAAGCTCACACGCTCTTTAGCACATTATCCAGTTTTGGCGTTATTAATCTCCTCAAAGTCAAATAGGCTTAAGGTAAGGAGGCAAAAGAACCAAACATTATAAACAAAAGACCCCCTTTTTAGCAGAGCTGACATGAGGGCCCTGGTTTGAACGCTTAACGAGTCCCCTCCTGAACATCAAACTCCAACAAAATGAGGACGTATTCTTTAACTAAAAAGTCCCCCCACACAAGTCTAACAAATCATTTAAAATAACCAAAAGGGGGACGAAAGTCAGTGCCTCACAAAAAAGAGAGAGTTTCATTGTAATTCATTGACTTGTTCAAAACGCCAAGCTAAAAAAGGCGAGAAGAAAAGAGAGGACATTCATGGGTACAGATGCTTTCTCGAGGAGAGACTCCAATGTATGGCCTTTGTTCGCGCTGCGTTAAACTGTTTAAAAGAGGGGTTAACGCAATCCATCAAATTGTCTGAAATTGTGTGAAAATTTCAGAAACCATATGGCCTCCAAACGTTCGCGTCTTTTTTATGTGGCTGGACACACTTGTTTCAGTATGGTGAACCGCAGGAGTCCGGCCATGCGCCATTGTCACTTGTCACATCAGGGTGGATGGCTCATTTGTCCTCAGCTTTCATGCTTTACGCTGGAAATTACAGCTTCACCCGTGAACAAAAAGGATTATATAGCCCTGGAGAAACTGGACCAAAACTTGGTGTTTTTTGTGTCTTTCTTCTCCTTTTTCTCCCCAGCGCCCCAGATTTGTGTTTCTCACATAAATTTCGCCCAGAATGGAAAAACACACGTTGTTGGGTCAAAAGCCAAGTCACGCTATTGCAAAGTGAAAGAGAGAGCGGAGTAAGCCAAAGGCTCTCTGTTTTCTTCTGTAGAGAGCAAAAACAATAGCGTTAAAGGGGCAAGAATGTTTTTCTTCCCTTCTTTTTTTCGTTTTGAGCAACGAAATCAAGGCAGTTAGCAATTACAAAAAAAAGTATGAAGCTCTTGGCTGTCGCGCACAAGTTCGTTAGCTCTTCTGTCAAATAATGTTTACATGGCAGTTATCTAATATCTGAAAATGTTTACGTTTTTTTAATTAAGCAAAAAAAATTGTAACCTAATTGTCAAAATATAGTTTAAAAAAATTACTGCAGTAGCCTATAAAGCGCAGACATTTATTTCTGTATTGCTAAATCACTTAACCTACAATTTAGGCGAAATGATAAACAAAACACAATTCTTGTTGTTGTTGTTGTTGTTAATAATAATAATAATAATAATAATAACAGTGTTTTATCAGAATATGGTGATTGTTATTGTTGTACAGACTCGGCATAGCATCGTCTTTGTAAAAGGTATAAATGTTTTTATTTTCAAACTCAATACATTAAACGACACATTGGGTATTGGTACAATGGCCTACTTTTGGAAGGCACTATATTGCAAGTAAACTGTTCAAAAACTTTACAAAAAGCAGTCACTGTCGATTGTGTACAAATTATACGCAATAAATACACATGTAAAAATAGTTTTTTTTTCTCATTAAGAGGTTGTATTGCTCTGTTTGTTGCCCTGATTCGTGAAATATTCTATTACACTCATTAAAGCCATTACATTACATACAATATATTATATATAAAAACGTAAGCTGCTAGTTCACATTGAACAAATAAGAGTTAGACTTGCATAGTCTGGCTATAAATGAAACTAATTCAGTTTCAGAAAACATTACAATCATGTAGATGGTTATGTGCATGCGTGTCTTAAAATATACATTTACAAAAGTTTAAATCAATATGCAGTGTTTCGATCAGACATCGACGTCTATTTCCACGTCCTCGTCCTCGGAGTAGTCTTGACTTGTGTGGTCTGAGAGAGACGACATGGGGGACAGACATAATTTGTGCGCACTCTTGTACTCGTGACCCAGCCGTGGCGAGCACTCAGGCCCCGTATGCCCCGTGGCTCCAACTGCACACCTCTCCAGATCGGCCAGTTTAGCGATTTTATCCAGAGGCACTATACCTGTGGATCTGACCGACTCCACGTCCGCTTTCATCTCCTCCAGGTCTCGCTTTAGTTTTGCCCGTCGATTCTGGAACCAGGTTATAACCTGCGCATTTGTCAGCCCCAGCTGATGGGCAATTTGGTCTCTGTCGGCGGGTGACAAGTATTTCTGATGGCGAAACCTTTTCTCTAGTTCATATAACTGGTGATTAGTGAAGGCCGTCCTAGATTTTCGGCGCTTTTTGGGACTGTCCCTTTGACCAAACAGAGTCAACCCATCCCTTCCTGTGGATAAAAGAAAGTGATGCAAAATTAGGTGACGCCGACAGTTTGTTTGTGTAATAATCGTGATTAAAGTTACAGTAGAACAACTGACTATTATTAATATATAAATAATAATTGCTAAAAAAAAACGATTTACTTAATATAACAATTTTAACTTTAATAATGTATTCTTTTTTGTATTGAAACGTTGATATGGTATGCTATAAAATATTAAAATATGTCAAATGAGTCAAGCTATGATCAAAAATAAAGTTAAATTAACTTTATTGGCATCGATGGTTCCATGAAGAACCTTTAGCCTAACATCCATTGATTCTTTTCATTACGCAAATGTTCTTTACAGTGGCAATGGTTCTTTTCTTTGGGGAGCCAAACATGGTTCTTTTTTGGCATTGCTGTAAAAACACTTGTTAAAAAGTGGTGACCTGTAATTGTTACATAATACCCATAAAATATAGTTTTGTTGGTGTACATTAATGCATTTAGGTTGATACTATTTTTACACTATTTGCACACGAATTGTAAAAGATTATTTTTTACAATCTAAGACTTCATTTACAATCCCTAAACAGGTTCTTTTCTTACCTTCTGCTGCTTGGAGTATACCTAATTCGAGCCCTTTGAACGTTTTGCTGGCCAGCTCCTGAAGAGCGCACAGAGGCGATGTTTGAGTGATGAGAGTCTGCCGTGATACAGTGATGCTCTGCCGGGGTCTCTCTGATGCTGGAAGCCGGTGAATCCTGGGAGTTCGTTTGACAGTCGGTTTGCTGAGGATGTCTGCGATGCTGAAGGGGGTTAAGGGCTTGTTGGAACTCGCGGGTGGTGGAAGGTGGTCCAGGGGGTTCAGCCCATGGCTCTCCATAGCCTCACAG